TGGGGACTGAGCTCTGGAGCTGGAACAGCTTGCATAGGATACGACCAAGCAAGGCTCATTTACCACTCGATCATGAGCAGGCGATTGAGGCAATCCTCCCCACAGGCCACCTCGCCCTGCGCCCGCTCCTCCTTGGACAGCGGGGGACACTCGCACAGCATCCGCTTGATGTCCCGGTGAGATTTGTTCTTCTTCCTGGCAAAACAAGGCGTGGGAATACAGGTGAGACCCTGATATGATGAGGCAATGAGAGTAAGTAAAATATCCCTTTGGAATAACATAACATCTAAAGGGAGGAAAAAAAGCTTAGACCAGACATATGACAAACCCACTTTTCCCTTTATAATGAACATAAAGCATTGGTGTACTCATTCTATTTTAACAAAGTTTAAGGCTTACAAATATTTTTCCACGTTCAAAATGCGTTTCTACTGTTCTGAACTGTGATACTTTTGTGTCAAAGTGACCACAGCTATGTACTAAAAGGAGTACATTCAGAACTCCAGTATCTGAGAAACCAAATATCTCCCTCCCCTCTCTGTCCACCTTGCCATTGACTTAACAGCACCAACTATTATTACATCCCTTTCCCAAATTCTGTGGAACACTCCATCGTGCACATACTCCTACCACTGCACTGCTGCTTCTTGATTATTCTTAAGATCCCAGCCAGGTGGAGAAACTCCTCCTCAATCCTTACCAGCGGTTTTTTGGAAAAAACGGAAAATAAATGTCTCAAGGTACGGATTGATAACCCTAGGGACAGGAATACCCAAGGACACTTGGCTTGGGGATGACTTTGTGATGGCAAAAGGTGATTTCTTAAAGAGAATTCCCAGGATATTCAGCTGTTTTTCCTTTCTCCTCCCTGTCTATGTTTATTTAGACACCCATATTTTAATAAGGCAAATTGGAGGGTTTTGTTATTTCAGCCTCTGCTTTGCTGTCAGGTGAGAGGATGAGAAAGAGGAGAAAATTAGAGTTAGACAAAAAGCAGGGCATCCACTGATTCATATTTTAGCTTCCATGAAGGATTTGGGGAATGCTCTGGAGTGTGGATCCCAATAAGACAAAAAAACTGTAAGAAAAAAAAATAAAATTATGGCCATTAAATTTTACAGAGCTCCTCTAAGATGATAAATGAAGACATGGAAGTAACCAAAGTCTTTGGAAAAGTGCCTTGTTTGTCCAAAAGCTTTTCCACACCCAGACAGAATTCCCTGTGCCAACAGCAAGGGAGCGAGCTGGCATTTGGAGACATTGAACAGGCAGGATCTGGTAAAGCTACAAAACAGGGTACAAATAAATCAACTTTTCCCTGTGATCCTCCCATTTTCCAACTCTTCTCAGCACTTGGGACTGTCTGGGCCAAACTGGGCGATTCTCTTTAGGAGAAAAGAGCCTGGGGTGGCTTTGCCAAATGTGGGAATGCAACATCCCTGCCCCTCCCTCCAATTTGCCCATAAAACCCCAACCAGCCTGGAACCAAATGGAAGTTAAATCCCAATTAAAACAAGGCTAAGGCAGCAGTTACCTCTCTGTCAAGTAGACGTTCTCCTCGATGAGGTCGAAGTAACAGGGCATCTTCCCCTGCTTGGCAAACTCCTTCCAGCGCTGGGGGTCCCTGAAGTCGTCCATGATGCACAACCTGCCCACCATGGAGGAATCCTGCGGCGCCGCCTCCACCTGCTCCCCCTCCAGCTTCCCCTTCCTCTTCTCCCCAGAGTCCCCATCGCTCTCCGAGTCGCTCTCCAGCTCCGGACGCCTCTTTTTTGGTGGGCCTCGTTCCTTCACGTCGTTTTTCTCCAAAGCTTTCACCTCGTCCTTCTTCTCCCCGCCCGGCACCGGCTCCTTGGTGGAATTGCTGCTGATCTCGTGTGCCTGCACCGAGCCCTTCTCCTTCTGCCCGGGCACCTGGGATTTTCCAGAGGGGCTGGGAAAGCGGGGCTTGCACTCCTCATCCCAACGCTCATCCTCTTCATACTCCTCGTGGTCTTCCGTGAGGGAATCGGGCACCTGCCCTTGGCCGCGTTCGTAGCTGACCACGGAGCCTCTGCTGGCTGCCCTCGCATCCCAGTAACCGTTGCCTTGCCAGTAGCTCTGGGAGCTGGGATAGGCTCCTGGTCCTGGCTGGTACACGTAGCCTGAGTACATCCCAAAGCTGCTGTCTGGCTGCTGGTAGGTGCTGCTGGGCTTCTCTGTCTGGGAGAAGTCCCAGCCCGCAGCACCCATCTCCTCCGGGGCACGGAAACCATCCAGCCTGGAGAAGTCTCCGAGGCCGGACTGGTTCAGCCCGCCCTGCCCCTGCCGACTGTCAGGCTTGGAGGAGCTCATGTGGCACCGGGATGTGTCGGTGCTCTCCAAGCTCTCCGGGACACACAAGGGCTGCTCCTCCGGCCGGCCCGTGGGCCTCCCCGTGGCCACCACGTCCGGCAGC